GAGAAGAAGAAGAAAAAGAAGAAGAGGAGGAGGAGGAGGAGGAGGAGGAAAGTATCTAGTTTCCCCAACCAAAACTGCAACACCTTTTCTTCAGATTGGTGCAATTCAGGTCATGTGTTTACTTTGGGGCCCAAACTGTCACCTGTGGGAAGCTGAGTATTTATTGTTATGAGGTCGGTCTTGAAGCTAGCAATGAGGTGAGTTTTCCTGAAAGAAAAGAGAAGGACTCTTTGAATCAGATATGCATTCTCTCAGGAGTTAGAAAGGGATTGGTACTCCCCTGAATCAGGAAATCATTCCTTGCCCTCGGGGCCTGGATTCAACCAGTTGCAAACTCACTTTTGCTTTGGGGTTGATTGTGAAGAGGCAGCATGTCCTTTCCTCAAACAGGGGGAAAGGGCTAGGGAAGGAAGTAATGAGTGACTCCATGTAAGTCTGACCCACAAGAAATATGTCAGAGAGGGCTGGGGATGTGGCTCAAGTGGTAGCGCACTCATCTGGCATGTGTGCTGCCCGGGTTTGATCCTCAGCACCACATACAAAGATGTTGTGTCCGCTGAAAACTAAGAAAAAAATAAATATTAATATTCTCTCTCTTAAAAAAAAAAAGAAATATGTCAGAGATCTGTTCAGTCTGCAGTTTTGCCAAAGACAATGATCCACCATCCAGGAGCTTATCTCACGGCCTGCTATAGTGTGGAACTGAAATGTCCCTGGAAGGCCCTTATGTTTAAGGCTTGGTGCTATTAGGAAGTGGTGTAACCTTTAGGGCATCAGGAACATGACCTTCAAGGGTGCAGTGAAGGTATTCTGGCCCTGTGTTCTTCCCTTTCTCACATTTGGCCATTATGTGCTGCCTTGCCAGAGGCCCAAAGACAGCGGGGCCCATCAGGCATGAGTGGGACCCTCCAAACTGGGACCCCAAAAGAGTCTTTCTTTTTTGTAGGCTGAGTACATCAGGTGCTGGCTGTAGTGATGGAGAGCTGACCACCACACATCTCAAATATTTACATGTTTCAAGCCAGAGGTGATTTATTTCTGCATACTTTTAATTTCCTCATACAGTGTTCCAAACTAAGCTAGAAATTGTTACAAATGGTTGGCGTTAAATTATGTAGAGGTGCTCTATCACTACTTAATGCCTGCATTTGATGTGGTTATTAAAAGGGTGACAATATAAATCACCATATCAACACAAACAAGAATTTATGACCCATTTCAAACACTTTGGGCTGAACATTTTTATAGCCATCAAAAGCTTAAGCATGAAGCAATTCAAACATTTAGCCATGGAGGAATTAGGATCCAGAAATACATCACCTTTGATATTGAATCTTCAGAAAAATCAATATGGAATAATAGCACAGGTCATTTACTTTTAATTGTCCAGCCACAGGAATGCTTGAGCATGCGTATAGTGGCTTCATCCATGTGGCTTATTCGAGTGTCTTTCATAAACTGGAGGCTACCTTCAGAGAGCTAACTGCATGGACAGAACAAATTGCCACCTGATAAAATGCTGTCCTTTCCTGCTAAATCTCTTCTGCATTGCCCAGAGCCATGACATTTTGTCTCCATGGTAATCAGTGCTATCAAGGCAAGAGTCACAGAAGGGAACATCACTAATGCCATCCATAAAATATATGCCCAGGATCATGTGAGATGCCAGAGGACCGTGTCTTCTGTTGCTCTCATTGACAAGGAACATGAATCCCTTGGTGCTTCACTCATCCATATATGAGAGAGCCCCAAGTGGAAGATGGCACCTCTGTTCTCAAATAGGCTTTACGAGATGGCTGTGATTGAAGAAGCCACTTTGCACACATCTCGCTGGATGAGACACTTTCCCTTCCGTGAGCACATTGAGGAATCCACTATAACAGAGGAGGTGGAGAGTGGGACAGATCAAGTCCACCTTGGAATCTGGACCTGTCATTTCCAATGGAGACACCCACAGATCCAGGCAAAGATGTGAGGGGATTGCTTTTTGGAAGAAGAGGTGAGCTTGATCCTCCTTCTGCACACCTTCCATGGCTGCTCAGTTCTACTCCTAACCCCAACCTCTTGGAACAGTCCCCTCTGCCCCAGCCAACGTGCCTCTTGTCACAGGCCACCCTAAGCCTCTTTCCTCCCAGTTGTCTACCACCAAAGGACAAAGATACCATCTGTCCAGGCAGGAGCTCTCCAGGATGTGGGAGGATGTGGGAGACCTGGCAAGACCTGGGGATGTTTAGCTGGGGGCAGGAGAGTAACTGGGAACATTCACATAGTAACAAGATGTCACCTGTGTTTGAAAAAATGGATGCAGTGGGGCCATTTTAAAGAAATGGTTTAGGAATTCCCAAGCAGGACAGAGGCCCTCACTATTCTGTTCCAGGATTTCTTGGGGAGGGGAGTGATAAACATCTGCATGACAGCATTCTTCATGGTCTGGCACCGTTCTCTCACTTCAGGATGTTCAGAAGCCCTGGCCCTTGGTCACTAAGTGCTATAAGAGGGGCTTAGTCAGGGTGAGCACTTTAAACCTCTCCATGGCCTTCCAACCCCCCTGGTGGCAATACCACCTCTGGGTTGAGAACCAATGAAGGCAGTTTAATTATTTACTGACAGGACTCCAAGAAATAGCTACATCGTGGAGCCAAATTTGTGTTTTATTTGAAGTCAGTCTCTGGTAGCCACATCTTCATATCTATAATTTATATTTGTTACAGAAATTTAAAACCCTCCTGAGTATTTGAAAATAATCTTGCTGTGGTTCGCCTCCTCATAATCCATGTTCCCTCTATCACAGAGCAGATGTGCTTTGAGAACTTCATTGTCAAGCTCTGGGGTGATCAAATCTCCAGTCTTGCTGAGCTGGGACCACTGTTGGGTGCCCATGTCACATGATGTCAGAGAATGTGCCTGCCACTGTTGACCATGGCTTGTCCCTGCAAGGCCAGCCTCTGGGAAAAGCAGTTCTCATGTGTGTCCTCGGCTCCAAGAAAAAAGAGACACTTTGCAAAATAGATTTTCTGGAAATGGAAATTCATTTTCTTCCTTTTTAAAAAAATTAATGAACCAACTTATGATCCATTAAGCTGTTAGAAGACTTCAAAAAAAATTAGATTTCCTGAAAACCCATGTACAGAATTAACACAAGCAGGTAGACTAATACCCTCCAACTGCATGGACTCCTTTCTGTTCACTGAATCACAAAAGTCACAGTAATAAGCTCAGATATTCAGACTACAGTGTGGTGGGCACTTGCTTAGCGGTAAATCCCTATCTACCCATTTTCAAAATACGTAGTTATCCAGAACAGAGGACATTTCCAGCATCTAATAATTTCCCCACAGGCATTCCCAGTCAATGTCCAGCCCTACCACATCCTTTTAAGAAGGGGAGAGGAGAATTAACCCACGATCATAGTTTTGTCTGTTTTTGAAGATTCATGCACCAGAGCTCATGCAGTGAGGACTCCTTAGAGTCTGCCTGCCCCTGCTCCTCCTTCTATGCTGAGATTCCTGTGCCATTTCTCTGTAGCAAATAATTCATCCTATTGCTGTACTCATTTTTTTTTATTCTATTGTACAAACACACTGCAATGTGTCTATTCATCCTCCTCTTTGTGAGTGTTTGGGTTGTTCCAAGATGTGGCTTTTCTGAAGAAATCAAATCTTCTGGAGATCAAATTCCTCTTAGGAGACACCTAGGAGGGGATCCTGTGGTCATTAGGTGTTGTCTTAGATGCAGGAGATAATACTGCTGCCAGTCATCTGGCTTTTACTGTCACTGTGTCCCATTCTCTTTCCCCCACCTAAGCATCTCCACCTGACTTGAAGCATTTTCCTGACTCAAAGTTGAAGAAATCATGAGGGAGGGTCCAGTTCTGTATTTTTGACTATGGAAGAATCCCGTGGGTACTGATGGTACCTTGAACGTCCAAGGAAATAAAAAGCATTTCATCCATCTTTCTTCCCTCCCTTCTGCTGAGAATCCTGCCCATGACCTTTGAACTGCCAATCTCCCACAGCTGCTTCTTGAGTGTACTTATCCACTCGCCTCCATTTCACTTTGATTACTTTGCTGCCCAGAAAGGAATCTGTGGAAGGGACAGGGATTCAGAAAGCTGCTGGGCCTGTTGCTAGTCTTCCTTTGTGAAATCCCAGTCAGGCCCACTGGTCTCTCCAGGTCCTGGGTGACAAGGTGGTCATGGCCCAGCAGCCCTGGGAGGCCAGCGTCCACAGGCCCCACCTGCTGCACAGAGACTGACCAGTCCTCCTGAACAGAACAAAGAGGGTTTCTGCCGGCTGAGTCTTGGGATCCCTGGCTTAGCCCCAGCTCTTAGTTGATTCTGAAGCTTCTGAGTAGAGGGCAGCTGTGGCTTTGCTATTAGAGATCAATGGAAGCGTTTTCACAGAAATGCGGGGATATAACTCTGAAGGGCTGAATTCAAACAGCAGGTTCAAAACTCATCCTCTAGCAACTCAAATTGCCTTGTTTCTAACCCTCCAAGCAGGAAAAACAAGGGTGAAGTTATAGAGACTGAAAGACAATGACTCATTCCAGAATTTGGAGAGAGAGAGAGAGAGAGAGAGAGAGAGAGAGAGAGAGAGAGAGAGAGAGAGAGAGAGAGAGAGAGGGGGGAGAGGGGGAGAGAGAGAGAGAGAGAGAGAGAGAGAGAGAGAGAGAGAGAGGTTTCCCTAAAAGGAGCTCAGAATATTACTGAGCTGGACCCTGCAGTCACAAATGTGGGAGACCTGTAGTCATTTTTATTTCCTAAGAGGCTGGCACCAAATTGACTGAGGGTCCATCTCCTGTACTGAGTCCTGTGGCTGGAAATGAAATAGCCAGCTCCATCCTGCCTGATGCTGGTTAGCAGCACGTCTCACGCAACAGGAATTATGTTGTGGGTTCCCCAAGATCGAAGAGGAGCTAGTCAGCTTCCTAGCCACTGGTTTGCTGAGCCCCACACACTAAAGAAAGGAGAAAGAAACAGCAAAAACAGAGATTTCAGATAATTTTGCATTTTGCTTTTCTCAGGTTTATTAAATAAAAACTAGGTGAGATATTTCAAATCTTGAGAAAAACCTTGACAAGGAAATTGGCATGCCACCCACACTGGGCACCTTGGCATTTACAAATGTGTGGAGGACTTGTAAGTATTTTTTCTAAGTCACTGAACTGTAATTTGAATAACACCTCAGCACCTCTCTGGACCTCTCCTGTACCCACAGCGCTGTGAACACTGAGGCAGCAACAAAACCCGTGTTCCAAGCTCAGCTGGTGCTCTCCTCCAAGGGGCATCACTCTTTCAACATTTTAAAGTAAAATTTTCAGCATTTTATTTTCATTGCAGAGAAAACAAAGAAAAGAAAAATGAAAAAATACACACACCCCCCCCACACACACACACACACCACAAACAAAGCTATTCATCTGCCCCTGTTTCTTCTGCTGCTTCCCCCCAGGGATTTGCATATCTGCAAATTTCAACCAGGCTCAGTGCCTTCCATGTCGTAAATCTCCACTGCATATAAACACAAGACAGCATCAGAACCTCTCCAGGACTCCCTGCTTGGGGTAAACATGGTGATTTGTTTTTCTTTAGTTTTGAGTTTCTATATTTTCTTCCCACGGTCAACGCCCCTTCTGATATTGGCACATGGTTTCTCCTGAGGATTCATTTTCTCCTCTCTCCATCTCCTGAACCTCACTCGCTCCCTGGGTTCATTTGGGACTGACTTTAATGGAGGAGGCAGGCCTGACCAATCCGTGCACCACGCCTCCTGGGGCACATTGAAAGGGCAAGTGTGTCAGTCAGTGAGATGTCCCCCAGGCTCTGCTGCAGGATTCAGAGGAAGTTGCTCATTTTTCTTCTTCTTTTTTTTTTTTTTCATTTTCTCAACTGGTACATGAATAGTTTGGAGCTGCAGGTATCATCTTGTTTTACTTAGGAAGTGTTTACCTGAGATTTCAGAATAAAATAGAGACAAAGATGAAAATCCCACCACCCAAAAACAGTTTAGAGAACCTGGTCCCCTCCCGCACTTCTCAACAACAAAGAGTGTCCCTCTTCTTCTGTCTTTCTGCATTCATCTTTGTGCTGGGTCTGGTTCCTGTCACATGGATGCGCAGCACTCCTGTGACCTGTCACCTTCACTCATGCCATTATTTCTGGCTCCTGCTTCTGTCCATTGAAAATAACTGCCTGCTCTCAGTCGGTGGCACCACAGTTCACTGTGCCCTTCCTCTTCGTACACTCATGCAGGTGGACAGCGACCCCAAGCCTTCTATACCCCCACTGTGATGGCCAGGGCTGTGGGGACTGTCTCAGTCCCCTTTGTTTGTACAGTGGAACTAGCACAGAGAGGTCTCCCAACTGAACTAGACATGGACCAGGGGAACAACAGGGGACACCAGATACTCTTCTCTTCAAAAAAAATTTGAGATGGATTGTTTCTAAGTTGCCTGGCAGAAAATGGACCTGACAAATGGATGAATGACCTTGTTAAACTGGAACTGGAGCATCTGAGACTTCAGGCCACAATGATACATTGTTATTCTAAACTTCAAGCCATGACCCACCAATTCCTAGACCTGGGAATTGGAGCCTGGGATGGTTTGGATGTGGTTTTCTGTGTCCCCGAGAAGGTTTCCCTAAGGAAGCTGAGCCCTCAGGCAATGCTGAGAGTTGTCTTCAAGAGGCGGGGCCCAGTGGAGAGTGGTCACTGGAGGCACCACCCTGGGAAGGGACTTTCATAATTCTTGGACGACGACCCTGGTTAGCTCCCTTAAGAACAGTTGTTTGAAAGAGGTGAAACTGCTCTCTAAGTACCATGTTTCCCATCTCACTGTATGTATTCCCCTTCCTGTACCTGTTTCTACCATATTGTCTTATAGGCCTCAGCAGAGCCCCATGGGTGTCAACACCATGCCCTTCAACCTTCAAAATGGCAAGCTAATAAACTTTTCTTCTATACAAAACACCCAGCCTCAGGAATTTTGTTACAGCGACACCAAATGGATTAAGATGTAGCCCAAGTCTTCTATTTCTTATAACCATCAATGGTGCATGAGAATAAATAATCATAATATTATCTCTTTGCATTGCACCATTATCCTATTATCCAGCTTGAAATGCAGTTTCTGGAGCACCTCTGAAACCAATTAATGGCAAACATTTATATTGACAGCTGCTACGGAGTGCAGCCCAGCTGTTGCTTTGTGAAGGACATCCTGAATGCTTCCAATTTTGCCCAGGGCTCATGGAAGAAACCAAGTTCAACATCAAATGAAATAGATTTTCCCTTCACTCTCAGATAGAAAGACATAGCCACACACGGTGTTCTTCCACATGGAAAACCAAAAGATCATTTTTGCTGTTTGATTTGAGCTAGGAGCCTGCAAGGCAGGATTCCTATTTTCTATTATGTTCTGTGGAATATCCAGTCTTGTGAAGAAACTCAGGTGGCAGGTTTGCCTCCCATCAAATGCAGGTGCTGTAAACTGTTAGACGTAGTCCTCACTCCTGCAGACAGGGGAGATCACAGCATGATGCCCTGGAGCTCCCCTTCATTTATGCTATGGGAGAAAACCATCGAGTTAATATTAACCAAAGTAGAACTTTAACAGGAGTCAAAATAACATTTTCAAAGAAATTAGTTGCAACACTTTGTACTGCTCTCAATTCCTTCCCACCCACCTCAAAACATACTCACACAGGGAATTAATTGTACCCTCAACCCCTCTCTTCCATTCTCAAGATGAACTATAAGTAATAGAGAAACTGATTTGAAAAATAATAAATGCAGAGATTATGGCAGATTGAGAAAAAGCAGAAGCAGATTTCTATTTTACTGGGAACTTCTAGAAACTTCTAGAATCAGAGAGATTCTCTTGGAAATTTTAGGGAGAGTCACAATGTAGTAATGAGATATGGTGTTGTGTTTCCTGATCAACTTCTGTGCACACAGCCACCTCCCACTCTTGGTTGCAATAGTCACCTCCCTGTTACTCTCTGACCTTCACAAGTGGAAGCAGCTGATGTGCCTCTTCACATGCAATACCACCTATGCTTTTTTTTTTTTTTT